CATCATGATCCACATAGTGCTTTGAGGAGGATACAATACAGAAATGATTAGATATATTTATTATAAACTAAATGTGCACATACATTTAGTTTCATGTCCAACAAAAATGACAAATGAATAGCATCAAGCTTTCACTTACCCCCACTGTGCGATGTAGACCGGCTCTATGACCCAAGGGATTTCATTCACAAAAGAAATAGCTCCGGTAATGTGGTAGAGGACAGGCACGTCTCTGATCTGTTCCCAGGGCATAGGCATGTTTTCCAGCAGCTTCAGCACTGCATGGGGCATGTACTTGAGGGCACTGTTCAAGCAAAACAAACATACATGATAAGCTACGGTAGTGATAAATCTTCCTAACCAATTAACAAAAAAGAACTTGTGCACCAAAAAAATCTGTTTAAGAGTATATGTCCATTACTTTCTAGCAAAAAAAAACCTTCTATTTTTTAATTGACAAAATTGTTTACTAATCTGATCATTTTTTTACCCGAGGTACACCCTCTTGTCATGGCGAAACTTTCTGTTGGTCATGTCTCCATGGTCCCTGATGATCTTGCGGACATGCTCAGGTGGCATGTCTTCCTTCTGGGCATCCACAAAGCCAAACTTTCTCTTTTCTGAGTAGCGCTTTGCCTGCAAGTGCTGCCATTTTCTTGCTGTTGAGTGGGAGGACAATGACAACACAATTAATCACCTCTCACTTGTAACATAAACATTGCAGTTTTGAACAAAAATGGGGACTTTCTGTGCTAATAGAGAGCCAACGTACCTTTCTCCTGAAGCTTTTCCTCAGACATGTAGTCCGGGACAGGTATGGGAGGGGGAACACCCGGTGGCATCCCTCCAGGGACCCCTCTGTAGGGGAAGGTAGCAGCCATGGTGTCTCGCACCTGAAAACAAACAGTTTCATTAATAAACATATTCTGCTCCTGAATGTGTTGTCCATGTTTATTTGTTATAAATTAAAATGTAATTAATTAAAATTATTAAGATAAACAATGTTTTCCCGTTAAGAGAATGTATCACTCATAAAAGCCAAATGAATTCAAATGAGCTCCACCATTAACAGCTGTGATAAAGACTATTGCATCAATAGTTATAATCAAAACATATGATATATATCATTCTTAAATTGAAAATCTGAATTTTGATTACTTGTACTAGTAACAGAGTGTTACTGCTATCTGGTACTTCTACTTTTACATTAATACAAGATGTGAGTACTCCTACCACCTCTGAACAGTATGGAGTGGTCCCTGGTTCTGTAACAATATACGCACATTATATGACCCATGCAATATTTGAGAAATCCTTATAGATTGTATTAAATGTAATCTTGGCGATGTGAGACAAACAGGTACTTTTATTTTGCCACAAATACATATAAAACTATTGCACATAATCTCAAATGCTAACAGTACCATTCAACTAATAAGCTAGCCGTTAGCTCAACATGGCTTCTAGTATGGAAGAAACTGTAACGTTGTGCACAACTTCAAAATAACGACAGACTTGACTCATTACTCGATTCGGTGACTTTTACAAATCTAATTGGCTGTTATTTAAAACACAGCTTACACCAAGTTACAGAACAATTAAGTTGGTCATCAAGGCCATGCGTGTCTGAAGCGGTAAGTTAGCCAACACTAGCACACAAGCTAACGACTGTGTGATAAGTAACACAACGAAAATAACACCCACCTCACTACCTGTGGGATTTCTTAGCGTTGCAGACAGCCGTGTTCCACAGACAATCAACTACCACATCATTTCTCTTTCAAAGTTGTATTGTTCCTTTTTCCAGGTGCTCTGTTGTGTTGACTGTCTTTATAAAACACGACGGCGGCCACACGATGGACGCAGTTCAGTGGGATTCACAGTCAACCGTACGCCGGACATACGTTCTTCTTCGCACTTAGCGGCTAGAGATCTACGTCGAAAACTTACGCAAACGTTGGACAAGCGCAATTTTGCAAGTACCCGGATGATCCCGTTTCCGGCGCACGACTGCCACCTATAGTGTTGGAGTGATACAAACATTGTATACAAACTAGTCTATGATACAAACATAACATTATAACTATACAAATATGAAGATGAACAATGCAGTATCAAATTTAATTATAAGTATTAATGTGTTTCATTTGTTTAAGCCGTTTAAAATTGGAAGAATAGTTTGATCACTTTTATCTTGCCGCGAAAGTAGTTGCTTTATGTTTCTACGTTGCTTTTATTGTAGATATTAAAATATTTGGTTTGCTTTTTGGTAATACCGCGGTGAATTTGGTTGTGTCATGTGCTGGCGGTTCCGCAAATGTCCGTCGAATATCCAACCTAAAACCAAATTCACCGCGGTTTTGGTAGTCCACTTTTATTGTGAAATAATAACAGGAAGAGTGTAGCCTCATTGGAATGGGGGCAGGTCTGAAGCACTTAAAACAGTCAAAGAGACCAGACCACATACAACATAGCGATTGTTTTTCACAAAGACTACACCTACTTCTTTATGTTTGGTACTGCTGTCGGACATAATGTCGGCTTGTGAGGACGTGAGGGAAAACGTGAAGGTATTTTAGTTTGTTTCAGACTTCAGTGCAAAGTTCAATTTGTTCTGACATTACATAACGGCCTGGTCGTTCAGTCGTCTTTCATTGACACCTCAATGAAAATTTTCCTCATGTTCAAAATATTGACCTTCCTTAAATCAATGTATGAATGTGATTATGTTATCTCTGTACACAATACATTTCAAAGTAATGGTAGTGAGGTTTCCCAATCTTTTTTGGCATCCAACATACAAAACTGCCCCTCAGGTTAAAAAGGAATATGTCATGAACTATGCATATGACTCTCAAACTATCAATAAGCTTGGTTTGGTCAAGTTTGCATTTTTTTTGTAGCAGAAATTAGAGATTTTGTTTTTCAGCAATTAATTTATTTTAGTTATTTGTATGTAGCCTATATATATTTAGTGTATTTATTACATTTTTACCCAACTGTTTAGATTTTTCACTCACTCTCAATTGTAATAGTGTTTAGTTGTAGCTGACTCATGGACATATGTATTATTTATTTTCTTAGGAAATAAAAAAATGAATAAAAGTGAGCATTATTATATTTACATTCATCATTATATATGTACCTAGTAACTGTGTAAGTGCCCCCCTGGTACAAGTACCTGATTTGGAAGCATTTCTGTAAAATAATGTATTCAAATGGTAAAGCAGTTGTTAAGTTGTTTACCGCAAGCTGACCATTCTATGTGTGCAGAAGTACTATGGCAGTCGACTGGAGTCCTCTTGTGATTTGCAAACAAGCGCAACCTCCTGCAGTTTGTCCTGTCGCCCGGTGCCAAGGAGTGTCACTGATGCCCTGAGCCTGGTTCACCCCGAGGTGACCAAAAGGTATGATGTGCAATTTTGTATCGTCTGCATTTTCAGAAAAAAACGGAATACCAAACAACACACACACACACGAGTAAAATCTTAAAATATTTTCGGCCCACTAACAGGAACTAACAGTTTTGTAACAGCACTAGATTACACAGTGACGACATGAGGACAAAACACAGACAGGCTACAAATCAAACATACACTGCTCACTCACACATTTCTTATTGAACCTCTCTAAAAACACATTAGAAAGCATGTTGCAGAAAAAAACATCACCCTTTGCCACTGTGATTCACACATTACTAAAATGTAATCCTGATTGGCTTCAATTTAGTTGTTAGGGTTAGGAAGGTTGTTATGTTACATCCAGAAGAGTGAAACTCTTTCTTTCTGGTCATTCATAGTCTTTTGTCATCCTTTACATCACACAAATATCTCTATAGCATCTTCCCATCATTGCACATGGATTTTGTAGTTCTTGCCATCAACAACAATGTTTCTCCAGATTCTTCGGTTGTGGCCTTCCCTTTCCAGCGAAGCTTGAGGGCTGCAGAGTCCTGGACCTCGGCAGCGGCTCCGGCAGAGACTGCTACGCCTTCAGTAAACTGGTCGGGCCGAGTGGACATGTGACAGGCGTCGATATGACGGAGGAGCTGGTGATCACACATGCATCTTCACACGACATTTGACACTTGATGTCTGTGCTTTCCATTGAATTCAATTGCATTTCTTTAGATCGCAGCGTCCCGTCAGTACATTGAGTATCACCAGAAGAAGTTCGGCCATGAGAAGCCCAACATCACTTTTGTCCAGGGGTACATGGAGAAGCTCAATGAAGCTGGCGTACAGAGCGACTCAATGGATGTTGTGCTGTACGTTTAAAGCCCTTCTTGAGGATCTGTCTGTGACTTTATGGTTTATTACAATAAAACAGCTTTGAGTAGTTGCTAAACAAATCTATTTTTTTCTTTCCAATTCATCCAGGTCCAACTGTGTACTCTGTTTGTGTTCTGATAAAAAAGCAGTGCTGCAGCAGGCCTACGATGTCCTAAAGGTTAGTCATGATATTCCAACAACATTGATTTTTAAAAAAAAAAGGGTGCATACTTGTTATGGTTCTGTTGACTCACTTTAACAGGAGGGGGGTGAAATGTACTATAGTGACATGTATGCCAGCAAAGTCGTTCCTGACCACATGAAGGAAGATGCAGTCCTGTGGGGTAAATTAAATGCATAATTATCAAGAATTCAATGTTAAACAGCAGAATACCTGCACACCTGACACACAATGTCCTCTGTCTGTGACCTTTGATTCCTGTCCTAGGTGAGGGAATGGGTGGATCTCTGTTTTGGCAAGATCTAATCTCACTGGCACACAGCGTAGGTTTCAGCACTCCCTGCCTTGTTTCAGCCAGCCAGATTGCAATCTACAACAGTGAGCTCAAAGCAAAAGCAGGTAACAATAAAGCAACATTAACCTTTAATGACATGTGGTGATAATTTCACTCTACAATAGAGCCCGCTCTTCATTTTGCAGGTGACATCAGCTATGCTTCAGGCACTTATCGACTCTTTAAGCTGCCCAAAGGGTCGGTCCTGGCTGAGGCAACAGTGACCTACAGAGGAACTGTGGCAGAGTTCCCAGATCAGCTGGAATATGATTCCTCGCACTGCTTCAAGGTACAATAAAAGTCCCACATAAGAAGGCCAGACAGTAAAATTATACAACATTTAATCGCTTTATCAATGTTTAAAGTGGACCTATCATGCTATATTTGAATAATATAGTGTAGGACAATACCTATATAAGGCATATTTATACATTTGATTTTTCTAAATACCAAACAGATCAGCAGAAAGGAGAGCTGCGTAGGCTCCTCTGGTTTCCATTGCAGCGTGACCGTTTACAGTGTTCGGTTCCGATTCTTTGGTTTGCCAGTCTATATGGTCTAAGTATAACACGACGGTTCAACCTGGTTATGAAAGGCAACCTTTATAAGACGTACCCGTTACGTAAAAATATTGGAATTATTAGAACTACGTACCAAATAATTACAATAGTATCGGTGTAACAAAATAAGTGGAGTCCTTCTCATGCTGTTGTTGGGGGATTTTGTTACGACTGTTTTGTGTTTGGTTTACACCTTGACAATGGATTATTGTAAAGTGTTCTCTCTACATTGTATTCTCTCTCGTCTGCGTATGTGCTCTCGTAGTTAAATACTCCTTTTTTAGTGGGCGTTCGTTTTGCTAATTACATATATGTGTATATTATGTAGAGTATTATTTGGAATTATGACAGCGTAAAGGGGGCAAAGTAACGGAGGTCAGTGCGGGATACGCGTGCGTTCGCGTGTTGTCTTAGTATCAAGGTTCCGTTGGTCGCACCTGGTCTCTTGTGCCTTAAGGAGCGCGTCATAATGTTAGTTCAGCTGCGTCGACCTTATCGAGGGACTACGTCGAATTATTGGGTCAAATCGCGATAGGAGACGAATTGCAAACTAACCACGAATGGTCTCTGCTCTCCACCGATCGACGTCGGTGACAGACTGCAGCCTGGGCGGGGCGGCCACCGCGCGAACGACTCGCTACCGCTGCCTCGTGCAGCATTGTTTCCGTCGTCCGAGTTCACTCACAGTAGGACTCAATGTGTTTGACTACACAATTTATGACATTATGCGGTAAATTATGTACTTCAGTCTCCACTTAAGACGTCTGCGTTATTACAGTAGCCTCTCATTTTACAGGCAGATAAACGTTCCACCCCCGTCTTTCTTGTATGTGTATGGTGTAGTTGGAAATTCACGTATATCGTGGTCTGGACACTCGTTTCACCCGATAAATGTGCAGGTCGCTATGGGGCTGGGTGGAGGTAGATACACTCTCGTACAAACCTAGTGTCGATGTTGTGTGATCACTAAGATGAGCTATTCAGTCTAGCTGTTTTTTTTATTTTGAGCAGAACTATTAATTAATCAAAGTGGAGATAATTTGTACCTCTAAGGACGGATCATTTTGTAAACTTTTGATCAAATCTGAGTGTCTTGTTTCCGTAAATTTCCTGTAGTAGCACCTCAATTGTACTTATATATTTAAACACATAAAGGTCACATCTCGTCTCGAAAGTGACTTTTATAACTCTTCTGTTTTTATACGTACTCTCCTTAGGATTTGTAGATATTCACATACCGCAATATATTGGTTTCGTTATCCGACTTTCCACGATCTGTCAGACGTTACAACAACCACAGTTATGTTCACGGTGCAGAGTAAAAGTTTGTATCATTAAACTAGGCAGGATGATTAGTGGTGGACAAAATTATATAAATATATCGTCGGGTCTCTTAATAAGAGTCTCGACATGTCCTTCTTGAGGACCCTCTGCGAATTTGGACTTCGCTTAGCTTTCCACATAATTTCAGGACTTGTGCCGGACCATTTTATGATGGGTTTCCCCATCATTGTATCATCCAATAGGATGTCAAGATGTATTATGATAAATGTGGTTTAGTGTCTAGTTGTGATTTGGAACTATGAAAGGAACGATTTAAAAAAAGGAGAGTCTCGGCTCTGGACTCGACCGACGTCTACATTCGTCTCCGGCCGCAAGAGGTCACTCTTTGTGCAACGTTCGCTGGCGTTCTCCAGGCGCAAGAGAAGAAACAAGGAAAGGTACTTTGGCACGGTTAACTACTAGGTAAATGCCGGGCGGTACCTACTTTAAGGTTGTCTGAGGCGAGGAATAGTCTGGTTCGTTCTTTTCGATAAAACATGCAACACGTTAAACTTATTAGGACAAACAGCCTTGCTGCGATCCCGTCTCCAACTGACATCTATTACTTTCATAGGCAAGTATAAAGTTCATTTATGTTGAAGACGGGGTTAATAAACACTTGGGAGAATACTGATGTCAATTATTCAGCCCACGTCACTCTTCTTTAATACTATATGGTTCATCATATATAAAAATTATGTACATGGTGTGTGTGGAGATAACGACAATGTTATATAAGTACTCAATGATAAAAATTCTTAGATTTTGTTTTCAGTAACTTTGTGGAGGTCGTTTACCTCTATAACTATTAATTCGGATAAAATCAATTAAACACCGTCATTGGAGACAAATCAACAGTTTGGAGTTATGCACTTAGTTATTAGTGTAAACAATCGTCTCTACAATCCGATAACACATACGTATATTGAAACTTGAGTTTTCTTTCAATTTCGTGGAACACATTGAGAATAAAGTAATTTTTCTATCGACTTGCGCACACCTCCCGTAGTGATTTCGGAGTTCATACATTTGTTTAAACTAACCTACAGACAAGTATGGTTTGTTGCACAAAAGACAGGCCCTATTAGAGACTTTTCCAAAGAATGTTCTGATATTTTTACTACGAATTGGAAACCGCTAAGGTCACTAAGAGTTAAAGTATCGAGTTTCGGTATCGAAAAAATTAACACTATCTTTCTTTTGTGTACATTTAGTAGAAGTAGCGACACCGAAACACTCTCAATATACTATTAAAATATTTGGTGGGTGATTCGTCGTGCTTCCCGGGTGAAATACGTACGCGCACAGTTCAAGTTGTAGAAAAACAACGTGTTCTCGTGCGTCATGTCCCCCGCGCGTTTTATGCAGTAATACGAAATCCGATAAAATTCGAAAACGCATGTAATGAAACTGAAATAAGTTATGCCATTTAGTATCCCTTTCATGTTTTTGTTTATGTTTATTAAGAAATCATGCCTGTGTATTACTAATAGTTATATGAAACTGTCGACCATAGGCAGTTTGTTGATTTGTTAGTACGTGTTGTCTTTCATCTCCTTTGGATTGTGTAGTTACTTATGGAATCGTATGTGCCTAAATTTATCTCCTGCCGGATAACACATTGCGGGGGGAGACCTCCCTTTGATTTATTCCATAAAGACTAGGGTAGAACTAAACGGACAAACCTCGTAACAAAGGTCTCCTAGGGTCAAACAGTCGGGTCGTCCTTACCACTCCCGTCTTGACTCCTTTTGTATTTATTTCAATTACCAGTGAAAACTCGTACGCTGCTTTGTTTGAAGTTCGAAAGAACGCAGCAAAGATGATTTGCTCATAACAAAGGACAATTTCGCCATCGTTGGACACTAGTTAGGACGTATATTGTAGCATACAGTTGCAATGCATGAGGTTGTCGTAAGTCATTTTGTGAAGTTTTAATTTCGTAAGTCGGTCGTCAATAAGGTCTTGTAGTAGTCGGACACCACCACTGCCGACTCGACTGAGCCATAGACTTTGACCTAAAACTTTGGCTTTTCTTTGCTCTACGGACCTCCTCGACGACGGTAGAGTGGTAAATGGAGGGTTGACGGTCGTACGTAGAAAGACGTTTACGTCGTTTTGTTTTGTAACTGGATTAGAAGGTTTGTTGACCTAACAAAGAAACTTTTAACTCTTTCATACTGTGTATATCTGGAATCAATGAAGATAATTACCTTTTTGATTCGCGTTTCTGTTCCACTTGGATTAGTAGACGTTTTTTACGTGGCAAACATGCAGAAATGTGACTTTTAACGGGGGCCACAGGTCCCTCTTGGTGGCCCACAGTCTTTTGTGTCTGGGGAAGTCGAAGAGGAGGTATGGCGTTTTAGAGATCTTTCCCCGACGTTGCCTAGACTTGTCTGACTAGGTCTAAAGCTTGTGAAGATACTGCAGTGTCTTCACCGCGATTTGCCGTAACCCGCGTTGAGCGTGGTAGTCTCCTCTGTTGGTGCCTGTAACGGCAAGCTTTCGCGACCTCTGCGACATCATGCTATACGGTCCGGACTCTACCACGCAAGAGTGTCTTAGTCGGGGTACGTTTCTGCACAATTTAACTCGCTTTTTTCGCCCTCCCTTTC